GGGGGGGGGGGGGGGGGTGGGGGGGGGGTCCGGCCGGGCAACGCGACGGCGGCTCCCGGAGGGGGGGAGGGGGGGGTCCCGCTGCGGAGCCCACTGGGCGCTGCCGGGGCCGCGGTGCTGGCCCGGGAGGTGGGACACGTCGGGGTCTGCCAGCCTCACGCCCCCACAGTTTTCCCCCCCCCGAGGTCAGTGCCAGCCCGGCAGCACCCAGTGTCCCGGTGGAGCGTTTTGGTCCCGGTCCTGGGGGGGCCCCTGCCCAGGCCACCCCGGTGGGACCCTGACCCACCAACCCCCCCCCCCCCCCCCCCCGGGACGGGCGGCCCCGGGCAGGGCTGGCAGTGCCCCACCCCCGCGCCGCCGGCTGGGCCCTCTCCCCAAACTGCTCCCGAGGTGCCCCCCCACCCCAGCGCCCCCCCACCCCAGCGCCCCCCCACCCCAGCACCCCCCACCCCAGCGCCCCCCCACCCCAGCGCCCCCCCACCCCAGCGCCCCCCCACCCCAGCACCCCCCCACCCCAGCACCCCCCCACCCCAGCGCCCCCATCCCACTGCTCCCTCTCCCCAGTGCTCCCTCTGGTGCCCCCCCCACCCCAGTGCCCCCCCATCCCAGCGCCCCCCCATCCCGGTGCTCCCCCCCCAGCGCCCCCCCATCCCGGCGCCCCCCCATCCCGGTACTCCCCCCCAGCCCCCCCCATCCCGGTGCCCCCCCAGCGCCCCCCCATCCCGGTGCCCCCCCATCCCGGTACTCCCCCCCAGCGCCCCCCCATCCCGGTGCCCCCCCATCCCGGTACTCCCCCCCAGCGCCCCCCCATCCCGGTGCCCCCCCATCCCGGTGCCCCCCCATCCCGGTGCTCCCCCCCAGCGCCCCCCCATCCCGGTGCCCCCCCATCCCGGTACTCCCCCCCAGCGCCCCCCCATCCCGGTGCCCCCCCATCCCGGTGCTCCCCCCCAGCCCCCCCATCCCGCTGTTCTCCCGGTTCCCCCCGCCGAGGCGCGGCCGGAACTCGGTGCCGCGGATCCGGTCCCGCTCCGGGTCGGCAGCGGCGGAGCGTCCCCACTCCCCGGTACCGGGGCTCCCCCCGACCCCGGGGCTCCCCCCGAAAGCCCCGGGCAGGTACCGCGGGGCGGGGGGGACACGGTGGCACCGGAGGGGGGGGGGGGGGCGGGCAGGGGCGGGCAGGTCCAACCGGGGGGGGGGGGGTGTCTGTGGGGCGGGGATCGGTGACACCGGCGGGTGGGAGGTCGGTGAGACCGGGGGGTTTGGGTTTGGCGGCACCGGGGGAGGAGTGAGTCTGTTGGGGGACCCCGGGACAGCGGGGGGGGTTTGGGGGGCTCCGGGACACTCGGGGGGGGGCAGGTCCCGGGGCGGCCGGGGGGGGGTCCCGGGACACTTTGAGCGGTTTTGGGGGGCCCCGGGGCGGCGGGGGGGGGGGTGGTTTTGGGGAGCCCCGGGGCGGCGGGGGGGGTGGTTTTGGGGGGCCCCGGGGCGGCTCGTCCCGTTCCGGTGTCACGACTCCCGCCGCTGTCTCCTCCCGGCCGCCAGGGGGAGACCAACCTGCGTGGAGGCCCCGCCCCTGCAGGCGGCGCCCCCTGGCGGCGCGGCGGGAGCCGGTGGCGCTGGCGGCCATGTCCCGCCGGGCCCCCGCGAGGGTGAGCGGGCGAGGGGGGGCCCGGGGGGACCCCTCGGGGTGCCGGTACAGGGGGGCGGGGGGACCCCTCGGGGTGCCGGTACAGGGGGGCGGGGGGGGGGGAATCCCCCAGGGGGGCCGGTTCGGGGGGGATGGGGGATCCCCAGGGGTGTCTGGGGGGGGCCTAGGGGTGCCGGTTCAGGGGGGCGGGGGGGACCCCTCGGGGTGCCGGTACAGGGGGATGGGGGGGGGACCCAGGAGTGTCTGTTTGGGAGGATGAGGGGGACCCCTTGGGGTGCAGGTTCAGAGGGATGGGGGGGGCCCCGGGGTGCCGGTTCAGAGGAACTGGGGGGATCCCCCAGAGGTGCCGGTTCAGGGGGCTGGGGGAGCACCCCTCGGGGTGCTGGGACAGGGGGATGGGGGGGGACCCAGGGGGTGTCTGGGGGGCACCCAGGGGTGCGGGTACAGGGGAACGGGGGGGGTCCCCCAGCGCTGCCAGTATGGGGGGATTGGGGGGGACCCAGGGCTGTCTGTTTCGGGGGGCTGGTGGGGATCCCCCAGGGGTGTCGGTTCAGGGGGATGGGGGTGGATCCAGGGGTGTCTGGGGGGGACCCAGGGGTGCGGGTACAGGGGAATAGGGGGGATCCCCTAGGGCTGCCAGTACGGGGGGCCTGGGGGGGGCCCAGGGCTGTCTGTTTCGGGGGGCTGGTGGGGATCCCCCAGGGGTGTCGGTTCAGGGGGATGGGGGTGGATCCAGGGGTGTCTGGGGGGCACCCAGGGGTGCCAGCTGAGGGGGGCGGGGGGGGTGTCTCCTTGGGGTGCCCGTCCAGCAGGATGGCGAGGGGCGGGCGGGCAGGGTCTGCTGCGTCCCCTGGGATCTGGGGGAGCCCCGGGGGGGGGGGGGGGGTGCTGAGGGGGCCCCACAAACGGGTCCCCAGGGCTGGGGCTTCCCCTGCTGCCCTTCACCTCCCCCCCCCCCCCCCCCCCCCCAGGATTCGGGCACCCCCAGGCGCCGGGCGCTGCCGGCCATGCGGCCACGGGCCGCGGCGGAGCAGGCGAGGAAAGCCCAGCAGCTGCAGGAGCTGTGGAGCCGGACGGAGCGAGCCGAGCGGAGGCTGCTGGCCTGCGAGAACCTGGTCGGGGAGCTGGGCAGCAACCTGGCCGCCCTGGGCAGCCTCCTCCAGGACTACGGGCACCTCCAGCAGCGGCTGGACAATGTGGAGAATCTCCTGAGGAACAGGAATTTCTGGATCCTCCGGCTGCCCCCCGGCTCCCAGGGCGAGGTCCCCAAGGTAACGGTGTCCGGGCTGGCCCCCCGGTGCCACCGCCGGGGCTCTGCGAGGGGGTTGAGGAACCCCCCGAGCCGGGGGCTCGGGTGGCTGAGCGCCTGCGAGTCCTGGACTCGCCGCCCACGGGCCCCGGAGCTGGGCCTGCCCCGAGCCCCGCGGGCGAGGCCGAGCGCTCCCTCTCGCCCGCGCGGGGTTTCCAGCTCTCAAACCGCGTCGCAAGTCAGCAAGCGCGTCCTACTTGTGATTGCAGGTGCCCGTCACGTTCGACGATATTTCGGTGTACTTCAACGAGCAGGAGTGGGAGAAACTGGACCCGTGGCAGAAGGATCTGTACAGGGCTGTGATGAGGGGGAACTACGAGATGCTCATCTCCCTGGGTAAGGCACAGGGCTGGCGCCGCCGCGGGAGCTCCCCACGGCCGAAGCCGAGGGGCTGGAGCAGCTCCCCTGGGGGGCCGGGCTGAGAGAGTTGGGGGGGTTCAGCCTGGAGAAGAGAAGGCTCCGGGGGGACCTTCGAGCGGCCTCCCAGGGCTTAAAGGGGGGACAGGGAAGGTGGGGGGGGACTCTGGGTCAGGGGATGGGGGTAGGACGAGGGGGGATGGGTTTAAGCTGCCAGAGGGCAGATTTAGGTGAGATCTAAGGCAGAAATTGTTCCCTGTGCGGGGGGGGAGGCGCTGGCCCAGGGTGCCCAGAGCAGCTGTGGGTGCCCCCTCCCTGGAAGGGTTCAAGGCCAGGTTGGACGGGGCTGGGAGCACCCTGGGCTGGGGGAAGGGGGCCCTGCCCAGGGCGGGGGGGGCACTGGGGGGGCTTTGAGGTCCCTGCCAGCCCAAACCAGCCTGTGGTTCTGTGCAGCCCAACTGACGGTCTCATTGGGAGGGGCAGGACGCCTGTAGTTTGCAGAACCTCCCCCGGGCAGTCAGACCCCCACGTCTTCCCTCCTCCCTGCTTGTAAGCAACGAGCAGTGTCTGTAAGAGAGAGCTGTAGCAAATAACAGTGATGATAATACAAGCAAATCCGATTGTGAAAAACAGCCACGTGAGGTGCTGTTCCTAATGACTGTGTAAGTGGATCCCAGGGCCAGGGAACCATCGTGATCTGCCAGCACAGTTCAGGAATCACTCTGGGTGAAGCTTGATAATTGGACCTTGAACTAGTTCTTGTTTTCCGTCTACGTACCCCGATGTAAAGCGACAGGGACATTTCCATCTGCCTTGGTAAAGAACTCGCCTAATCATGCCCGGTCTTTCTAAGAACACCCAACATGTTCTTGGATGATTTGGGCTGCAAGATATTCCCCCCCAAGAGCTGGTTCTCGGGCGTGACCAGTGACGTGCTGCTCTGTGCAGCTGCTGAAGTTGAGGCTTCATTTTTCTCAATAATATCCTGTAGAAACAGAACAAACTTGCTCCTCTCGTGGTCCCTCTGACGCAGACATCTCTGCAGAGCGGGAAGTTTTCTGCCCCTACCCTAGGACGATAGCTCAGAAGAATTGTTCTTCAAGTGACTGCTAAAGTTGAAATGGGAGGAAAACGTTCAAGATAAAGCCCTTCCCTCTCCTTTTAAGATTTTACTTCATGCTCTGTTGCTTCGATCCTCTCTGCCCTCGAGCTGCAGCTGTGCTTGTGGGTGGGTCCTGCCGCGGGGCCAAGCAGGCAGCACCACCTTCTCCTCAGAGCGCGGACAAGATCTTCGTGTCTGTCCGTGCTGGCTCTGGGGTTAGGGAGGGAAAGGCCGCTCGGAATGTGACAGAAGGAAGGTGTAGCCAGTTCTAATAAACCCTGCTGTCCTCTGCTCCTCCCCCGTGTGCAGACTATGCCGTGTCCAAGCCTGACATCCTCTCCCGGATCGAGAGGGATGAAGAGCTCTGCATCGAAGATGGCCAGGAGCCCCCGCAGCCACGTCCCACAGACAATCAGGAGCCCCCACAGCCACGACCCCGAAATGATCTGGAGCCCCCACAGCCACGACCCCGAAATGATCCGGAGCTCAAACAGCCACGACCCCGAAATGATCTGGAGCCCCCGCAGCCACGACCCCGAAATGATCTGGAGCCCCCACAGCCACGACCCCGAAATGATCTGGAGCCCCCACAGCCACGACCCCGAAATGATCCGGAGCTCAAACAGCCACGACCCCGAAATGATCTGGAGCCCAAACGGCCACAACCCCGAAATGATCCGGAGCTCAAACAGCCACGACCCCGAAATGATCTGGAGCCCCCGCAGCCACGACCCCGAAATGATCCGGAGCCCAAATGGCCACAACCCCGAAATGATCCGGAGCCCAAACGGCCACAACCCCGAAATGATCCGGAGCTCAAACAGCCACAACCCCGAAATGATCCGGAGCCCCCGCAGCCACATCCTGGAAATGATCCAGCGCTCAAACAGCCACGACCCCGAAATGATCTGGAGCCCAAACAGCCACAACCCAGAGACGATCAGGAGCCCCCGCAGCCACGTCCTGGAAATGATCCGGAGGCCCCACAGCCACGACCCAGAGATGATCAGGAGCCCCCACAGCCACGACCCAGAGACGATCAGGAGCCCCCACAGCCACGTCCTGGAAATGATCTGGAGCCCCCGCAGCCACGACCCCGAAATGATCCGGAGCCCCCGCAGACAGGCGTCCCAGATGGTCAGAAGCCCCCCCAGACGCCAGAAGAGATGGAGCAGAAAGAAGAGGCTTTGGGAGATGACAAAGCCCGCAGGGCAGCTGGCCCAGGTGAGTTCCGTGGGTGCCAGGAGGACTTGCTTCCCCCGGCCATCCCTGGCCCGGCTCTCGCGTCTGCTGGCAGTGTGTGGGAGAGGGCACGGCAAGGCAGCGTGCTTCGGGGCGCATCGCCAGGGAAAGGCAGAAGTCCTGGGGGGTCTTGTCAAGGGGTTCGAGGGCCTGGACACAAGGCAGAAGGGGAATACCACCCGTGGAGCGGGTGGGGAGGATTTAGGAGGGATGAGGTGGCTCTGCAGAGCTGACAGCATGAGGCACCTCGGTGTCTTTCCTCCCAGCCCTCCCTCTGCTCTTGGTCCTTCCGTGTGGCCTCACACCAGTTCCTTCTAGCACCTCGCATGCCTTCCGTAGAATCTCAGAACCGCGGAGGTTGGAACAGACCTTTGGGATCATTGGGTCCAACCGGTACCCGGGCACTGCCGACGGCACCACTCAACCACGTCCCTCAGCGCCGCATCCGCGCGGCTTTTAAATCCCCCCAGGGACGGCGACTCCACCGCTGCCCTGGGCAGCCTGTGCCAGTGCTTGACAGCCCTTTCCGGGAAGGAATTCCCCCTCCTATCCGATCTAAACCTCCCCTGGCGCAACGCGTCGTAGCTGCTTGAGCCGCAGCGTTCTGTGGCTCTTCTGCGTGCTCCCAGCACAGCTCCAGTCAGCGTCGCAGCAAAGCAGGAGGATGTGAGCGCTCCGCGGGTCTTTAAAATCGCTGTTCTCTGCAAACAGAACTCCCCATCGTGGTGATGAACGTCATGTCCCTGAGCGCGCAGAAAGAGGAGCTGCGCAGGGAGGATCAGTCCGAGACAGAGATGGAAGTGGACCCGGCTGAGACCAACCCCAGTGAGTAACCCCGTGCCGGGCAGACACGGGCCGTGCAGCCAGGGAGCAGCTCCCCGCTCGCTACCACGCTAGAAATGGGGAGGGAGAAGAACGTTTTCAGGCCTCTCTTTTTATCAGGGAGCAAGGGAGGGGGCTGGCGTTGGGCCCTGCAGCCCTGCGGGAAGAACAGCGGTCCGGTCGGGGTTCCTTCCGTCAGCAAGCGGGGGAGAGCCGGCCGCGGCTCTGCTGGCGGTCCCGCGCCCGAGGGGAGCGAGGGGCCTGACGGGCCGCAGGCCGGCCGCCGCTCCTCGGAGATCTTCTCCCCCGCGACGGCGGCGCCGCGCCGTTAGAGGTGGATCCCTGGGTGCCCCCGTCCCCGACGGCGCCGCAGCGGACCACGGCCTGGGTCTACCTGGGAGCAAAAGGTCTGCCCCGTGAGGCCACGCTGGGTCGCTCAGGGCGGTGTGGGCAGGGCACTGGGGGCACCCCCGCCCTTTCCAAACTGTGTTCTCAGCTGCGTTGGTAGCTCGCTATTGCCGAAGGCCTGCTCAGCGCTCTGGGACTGGGCCGCAGCCTGGGCTTGTCCCGGGAGCGTGACTGAGCGCCGCCCGTGGCGTTGCGTTTCAGGAAAAGGCTTTTTAACGGGAAACGGCACGGCGGCGTGTGAAGAGGCTTCTGCTGAAAAGGTCAGGGTGAAGGAAGAGGAGCCTGAGGCGCTGCAAGAGGTTTCCGCACCCTCTCCCAGCGCGGAGATCCAGAAGTGCCCCAGGGGCGAGCAGGCCAAGGCCAAGGGCAAGAAGAAGCCGAGCAGGTGCGCGAGCAGCAGCCTGCTGATGGGCAACTGCCGGCGCGGCTACGTGCGCGAGTGGGCGCACCCCTGCACCGAGTGCGGGAAGCGCTTCCGTCTGAAGATCAACCTCATCATCCACCAGCGGAGCCACGCCAAGGAGGGGCCCTACGAGTGCGCCATGTGCGAGATCAGCTTCGCGGACAAACGCCAGCTGGACCGTCACCAGAGCATCCACGTAAAGGACAGGGCCTTCGGGGCCAAGGTCTGGGGGAACGTCCACCCGGAGCTGAGGACCCGGCCGAGGAGGAAGCTGTGCAGGGCTTTCTGCGGAGACGCCCACGGCCTGGGCAGCGGGCCCTACGCTGGGGGGCCCGGGCTGGGCCAGCCCAAGGAGGAGCTGGACAGAGGGAGCCCGGCCAGCGCGTGCCCCCCGCAGCAGCAGAGCCCCAGGTCTCGTGGCAGGTCCGTGATGAAATGCAGTCTTTGCAAGAAGAGCCTCTCCTGCTCCTTTTCCCTTCGGCGGCACCTGCAGATCCACCTGCGGGACAGGCCGTATTGCTGCCCCGCCTGCCAGAAATGCTTCGCCCGCAGAACCCACCTCTCGCGCCACCAGAAAACGCACAACCACCTGAAAGCCCTGCCGGCGCTCCGGCAGCCCCCGCCGGCCCCGGCCCCGGCGAGCCGCCGCCGAGGCGGCGAGGAACGGCGGCCCGGGGGCCCGAGCCGCCCCCGCCGGCGCGCTGCTGGGGGGCCCGGCGGAGCTCGGCTGCGCCGGGAGGTCCGGCCGGGCCGTGGGCAGCAGGGCGGCCGGCGCGGGGCCGACGGAGAAATAACAGCGGGGGAAGAGCCGAACTGCTTGTGTCCCTGGAGGGCAACGGCGAGCGTGGATTTTGCACACTGAATTCCAGAATTCCTGAATTTCCTGAATTCCAGAAGGAAGCGAAAGCCTGGGCACCACCCCAGAGAGCGAATTACAGAAGCCTCCCGTGATCCAAAATGCTTTACCGTTCCTCGGGCTCTCGCGTCTGCTGCCTGATGCACAGAATTTTCCCCAAGCGGAGCTCGCCCATTACTTGATGCTGGAGCTGACCCCTCGCTTTTGGAAACACAATTCCACGGTGAAGAGGACAGAGAGAAGGGGCTCGGGCTGGCGAGCCGGGCGGGATCCCCACGGGACAATTCACTTCGCTTAAAAAGTCTCTTGGCCAGGGCGCTGGATGACGAGATCGCGGCATCTCCGAGACCCCCCCCCCCCCCTCGCGTCCTGGCCACGCTTGTTGGAGAACCCACCCTGGCGAGGACACCCGCTGACCCCTCCGTCAGGTTGCCAACACCTGAGCGTTGCAGGGGAAGATCAGCGGAACAAACCGACCCACAGTATTTTGCGCCCGCGAGGGCGCTGCGCGTGTTCCTGAAGCTCCCGGCGGCACTCCTCCCTCCGGCACGGCCAGCCCGCGCGAGCCAGCAACACCCCCGGGAGTTACTTCGTTCCCTCAGGACCAGCCTGCACAGATGGAGAGTCACTTTAGAAATAAGTCACAGGTAAGATTAACCCCGCGCCGCAGCAGCAGTTCACGCGAGGACCCTTCCCGGGGCTCAGGTGTGTTGGTTACGCGCGTCGACGCCGGCTCCGGCACGGGACCCCCCCCCCGTTCTCCGAACTGCACGTCGCCTCCTCCCGTCACGCGCGGAACCCCTCCGTAACTAATCCTACGAAGACCTAGTTCTGCTAGCTACCTCAAACGTCTTGTGGAGCGAGAGCTGCCCAGAGGCAGCCGGGTAACCGGATCCCAGTAAGCGCCGCCCGCCAGGGCCAGGGGCGGCTCCGGTGTCCCCCGGTGTCCCCCCGGCATCACCCGCGCGGCCGCGGCCGGAGCCCGGCGTGCGCCACGGGCAGCACGACCCGTGCACAGAGGGAGGAGATGGGTCCGGGTGGCATCGCCGTGCGAACCGAACAGAGCAGCTGTTAGAACTCCCCAGGTTTAGTTCTCCAGGTGTTTGGTTGGTTGTTTTTTTGTTGTTTTTTTTTTTTTTAAATGGCGTTGTTCGATGTAATTGTTTGATGTCACTTTCTGTCCCTCTCCGGGCAGGGCGCGCGGGGGAGCCAGTTTGCTTCTCGCATTTTTCATTCCTGGCCGTTCAGCGGTCCCGACGGGCGGCGGGGGGTGCCGCTGGGTGCTTCGGGGGGGGCCGTGTCCCGGGGTGACCCTCAGCCGTGCCCGGCCACCTCCCTGCCCCACGGGCACGGCCCAGCTTGGGCACGGCCCGCTGCTCCTCGGCCGGCTTCCCTCTGGTCCCCGTCCCCAGTGCCAGTCGGGTTGTCCCCGCGGCCCCCGAGGGACGGTGCCTCCCTGCCCCCGAGCCCCTGGGGGTTTAGAGGGGCGGTTGATGCCTTGTGGTCGTGCGACGGCGGCGGGTCGGGCAGCGAGCTGGCCTCCGGGTGACCGGGCTGGTTATCCCCGGCCCGGGTGGAGATCCCAGCAGCCCCCCCAGCCGGACCCAGAGGCCCGAGCCAGCCGGTGCGATGGTGCTGCCGGTGGGCAACGCCGCCCAGGCGGGTGTGGAGGGGCCGGCCTCTCCCCGGGGGCTGACTGCCCCGACCTGTCCTTAAGGCTGGTGTGACTGGGACCAGCGTTTCCTGTGAACTCTCAGATCCCTTTCTCAGGCTGTGGAATCAATAAAGTATTTGTACGTCTGCCTGCGTGCGGGGGTGGGGGGGGGTCTGGCACCCGCGGGCACCGTCCCTGCAGGAGGAACCCGCGCCAGCCCCGGGCGGAGGTACCGAAACCCGCGCTGGTCCCGGGAACATCCCAAGGGCGAACGCGTGGGGCTGCCCCCCCCCCATTTCAGTGGGGCTGGGGGAGCCCCGAGAGCGGGGCTGTGCCTGGGGCGGCCGCCGGGAGAGCCTGGGCCCGGCTTCTGCTGCCTCCCGGCGCTGAGGAGCCCCCCGAGCCGCCTCTGGGGTGACGCAGGGGGATGCTCTGGCCCTTCGCCGCCATCCCGCGCCCCGCTGGACACCGCCCCAGCACATCCATCCCTTACACCGGGCCCAGCACCCCGCTGTGTGCCCCAGGGCCGGGCGGAGGGGCAGGATTGTCCCCCCCACCCTGGCACCTGCAGCACTGCGTGGGGCAGCCCGGGACCCCCCCCCCCGCCCCCGGGGGCTGCGCCGCCAGCGCTTGACGTGGCCACCGAAGCCACGGGGCTGCCCTCAGCGGGTATGGGCGCCACAACCCCAGCCCAGCCCAGCAGCCATGCTCTCTGGGGGGGGGAGGGGGGTGTCCCCAGGGTGCTGTCACCCACCACCATCCCCAGCGTGTCGTCCCCCCCGCCCCCGGGATGGCACCATCACCCTGGGTGCCCCCCTGGAATTGTCGCCCACGCACCCCACAGATGTCATCGTCATTCCCGGCCGGGGATACCCCCCACCACCACCACCTCGGGGATGTGAGCACCCTGGGGTGCTGCTGTCTGCGAATGCTGCCCCCGGGGAGGTTCCACGGGGGGGGGGGGACTCGGGGGTGCTGGGAGCTCCCACGCGGGGACAAACACAGCAGGAGCTGTGCCCTGGGGACACCCTGACCCCAGGGTGTGCCGCTGCCCCACGCCGGCCCCACTGCGGTGGCTGCCACCCGGGACGGTGCCCAGGAAGCTCGAGCACCTGAGGGGAGTGGGGAAGGGTGGGCGATGGGGTGGGGTGGGGGGGAGGCGTCCCCCGGGGCCCAGATCCCCCGTTCCCTGATTCGCCTTCACCGCGAGGCCTCGTCCCCGTCCCCGGGGGATGCGGAGCAGCGGGCGACAGTGGGGACGCCGGGTGGCTGCGCCCCTGGCTGCACCCATGGGAAAGGCCCTAAATTAGACCCCGCGGGCCCACGTCGCCCTTCGCCCTTGGCGGCGGCGCGGTGCCCGGCCCCCCGCCCCTCGCCGACACCCCGGAGCACAACAGGAGGCCACGTCAGCCCAGCCTTTTATCGCAGCCTCTTCCCGGCTCGTCCAATGACCCTGGCTGCTGCCACAAGAGCCCCTGCCCAGGCCACGGCCGCCCCTTCCCCCCCGCCCCCCCCCACGCTGGTAGTGTTTAAATAACCCTGAGTTCGACCGCTCCGCGGTGCCCGACGCAGCTACGCCTCAGCCAAATCCCCCTCCCGCGGCGCAGCGGCACGACCCGGCTCGGCTCCGGCCGCCGGGCCTCCTCCACTGCCCCGTCTCTTCAGCCCCTGCGCATTTCCCTGCCGGTGCAGCACATCAGCCTGCCTCCATCCTCCATCCTCCTCCTCCTCCCCTCCCTGGAGAGCGCGGCGGTGCCACGAGCCCCACGGCATAGCGGACAGCCCCACGGCATAGCGGACAGCCCCACGGCATTGCGGACAGCCCCACGGCATTGCGGACAGCCCCCCGGCAGCGCAACACCAGCTGCCTGGTGTGTCCCGTCGTCACAGGCTGCCGCACCTCCGCGGAGCAGCCCGGAGAAACGCTGCCCCTTCCCTTCTCCAGCCCTCACGCTACCGATTATCCTGGGTCAGAGCCTTGCAGGGGCCGGTCTCCAGCTCCCGGTCCCGGTTCGGCAAGCTGGCGGCAGGAGAGCTGGCAACGGCGTGGACCTTCTGGTGGTGGTTCAGAGACTGCCGGTGCCGGAAGCTCTTGCTGCAGCCGTTGCACTGGAAGGGCCGCTGCTGGGTGTGCCGGCGCTGGTGCTCCTCCAGCGACGCTTTCTGGGGGAAGCTCTCCGCGCACTCGATGCAGCGGTAGAGCCGCTCCCCGGCAGCGCTGGCCCGCGCCGGCCGGCCCGCCCAGCCGCCCCGCAGCTGCACCCCGTGGATGCGCTGGTGCTTCTGGAGGTGGTGCTTCTGGATGAAGCCCTTGCCGCAGGCGGGGCAGCGGTAGGGCCGCTCGCCGGTGTGGATGCGGTAGTGCTTGTTGAGGTTGGACTTCTCGTTGAAGCTCTTCCCGCAGGCGGGGCACTGGAAGGGCCGCTCGCCGGTGTGCAGGCGCTGGTGCCGCAGCAGCGCGGCGTGGTGGGCCAGGCTCTTCCCGCAGGCCGCGCAGATGAAGGAGCCGTTGCTCTTCCTGGCCTGGCTCTGCTGCCGCGCCAGGAGGTTGCGCTTCAGCCGGGCGCTCTTCCAGCCCAGCGGCAGCGCGCGGGGCTCTTCCCCCGCGGCGCAGGGCCGGCGCTCCTCCGAGCTGGGCTGCGCCGAGGCCGCCTCCGCGGCGCCGTCCTCCCCCAGCGGCATTCCCTGGGGCAGGGCGAACGGCTGGTCAGTCCCCCGCGCCGAGCGCATGCTCTGTTGGGAAGGGCAAGCCCGGGGCAGGGTGAGCTTCCACCGGCACCACCACGGGCTTAAATTCGGGCTGGGCAGTCCCGTGTTTGCAGAACTCCCCTAAGCCCTCGCCTGCTGCCTTCTGCTCGCCCAAGCCAGCGTGGCTCTCCCAGGGCGCCGGCTGCTCCTGGCTCAGGGGAACCTCCTCTTCCAGCCCCAGCGAGGCTGCCTGCGGCACAGCCAGGATTCCAGAGCCTCCCTCCTGGAGCTGCTGCTCTTCCGTCTTGATCACGATCCTCTCACCTGCTGAGAGACAGCGATTCGTCCCCGGCAAGGGAAGCTCTGCCGTGCCCGCAGCCCCAAGCGCGGGAGCGGGAGCTGAGCTTCCCCTGCAGCACGGCGGGGAGACGACCCCAAAAACGCACCGTTAGGAAACAGGGGGGTTTTGCGGGGAGCAAAGCGGGCAGAGGGACACGTGAGGTGGAGGGGGTGTTGGCACCTGTCGGGGGGTTACCTGGGAATCTGTTGGACCTCAGGGACATTTGGTGGACTGACAATACTCATAAAGAAACCAAAACAGGGGGAACGCAAAGGCGGAAGTGGAGGCTGCAGAGTTGTGCGTCCTGGAAGGAACTTTCTCAGGAATGGCTGAGTGTAGGTGGGAGAATCTGGGGAAAAGGATCAAAGCGAAACCTTCCAGGAGCAGGAGGGAGTGTCTGTCTGCAGGCACACGGCCGCAGAGCCACCCTGGTGCTAAGCCTCGCCCCAAGTCTCCCTGTTTTCCGCTCTTTTTGGCAAGGGGGCTCTTCTGGGCTTAAAGATTGGGTCTCAAAAGTTTTAAGGAGGCCCCAGCCACACGACTTAAATTCCCGACAGCTTTTGACCCCCGTGCCAGGCTGGAAACTCTCCCTGCGGGGACGTGAGCACCGCGGCGGGCAGGCTCCCACCCCCCTCGCTTTGGGGGCAGGACAGCCCAGCCCAGGCGGGTGCTCAGTGCTCGTCCTCCACCTTCGTGGCTGCTGGGACTCACCGCCACCGAGGTGCCCCAACACCGCTCCCTTCTCCAGCAGCCCGTGGCTCCTCGTTCCCGAATCCTCCCCGTCCTCGGCCGGCGGCAGCAGAGCAGGTTTGGAGCTGGCGTCCCCGGGCCCTGGGAAGGAGGAAGCAGCGGTACGAGCTGCTGATGCTGGGGACCAGCACCAGTTCCCCTCGATAAAGGGCTGCTCTCGCACAGCGGGAGCTGTGGGGCGGCCGGAGGGGTCCCTGGGCTCCCACAGCGGCGGCTCAGGTGGGCCAGGACTGTCCGAGCAAGCACGCTGGTGCCAGCCAAATGATCTCGGTCACCCCCAACAAGTGACTGTCGAGCACTCGGCCTTTAAAATTTCAGCCCAGGGTAATTCGTGCTAAAATTTAGGACTGTCTGCAGCAAATCCCTACCGGGTGGTACGTGTACAGCCTAAGTCCTGGCGCACACAGGTTGCAGGACACGGCACGGGCACGTCACCCAAGCTGCCCACTGCATACTGCCCCGGGGGGGGCATGCGGGGAGGGGTCTCCTCCGCTCCCGCAGACACTGTGCCGAGTCCCGGGACCCCAGCGGGGCCCCCCCAGCTCCTCCTGCAGTGCTGCTGCTCACGGGGCCAGAGTCAGGGCTGACAGAGGGGCCAAACGCCGTGTTGGCAAGACGAGGCGTTCTCCGGATGCACAGGGTGGGCAGGAAGCACGGCTGTCACCCGCAACCAAGGGGGCACCAAACCTTAAACGTGTAAAGGCGTCAGCTCCCGCTCCCCGGTCTCCTCCAAACGCCCAGCCAACACAGCAGCCTACAAGCAGGACGCGGCCCAGGGGACGACAACGTGTCTGAGACGCGAGTAAAGCCTGAGCCTCACCAAGAGAGACCACAGCCTCGTAATTCCCCTTCACGGCGATCCTGCAGAGCTCCTTCTGCCGGCTCTCCAAGCTGCCCCACTCCTGCTCCGGCAAACCGGCCGCATCGTCCTCGCACGCCGCTGGCACCTGAAACCACAAGGAGGCCCCGCCTTGGCGCTTCCCCACCTCATCTGCAGGCTCCGGGACACGGCCGCGCCAGCCCGGAGCCCCCGCGGCGCAGCCTGAGCCCAGGGAACAGTTCCAAGAGGGCCCAGCCAGGCTCCTTGTCTGCCCCGCACACGACCGCGACGGCTCCGCGTGCCCCTTCTCCTTCCCTTGAGCCGCCCCGAAGCAGCCGGGTGAGCGGCAACCCCCTCGCGCGGGAGCAGGACGAGCGGGGAGACACCGTCCCAGTGGGGTGAGGAGCCGACCCAAGGAGGCTGAACACGCTCGGAGGGGCTGTGTCCTGTCCCCCCCCCTGGGGACAGGGCAGCGCGGGAAGTCTCGGACTGCTGCCTCGGCGCGCGGGCTCTGCACCGCAGCGGCCGCGTCCCTGCTGCTCTGCGCAGCTCCCCGCGAGCCGGCGCCACATCGCACCGGGCACCCGGGGCACCCGCCGTCACCTCGGGCACCTCCCCGGTACCCCGGGCGCACCCCCGTTCGCCGGGGCTTGTCCCCATGCGCCACCTCGGGCACATCCCTGTTAGCTGGCGCTCGTCCCCGCTACCTTGGGCGCCACTAGCTGGGGCTCATCCCTGTTTGTCACCGGGGGCACGTCCCCATCAGCTGGGGCTCATCCTCCTTACCCGGGGCTCGTCCCTGTCATCTCAGGTATGTCCCTGTCACCTGGGGCTCGTCCCTGTTTGTCACCGGGGGCACGTCCCCATCAGCTGGGGCTCATCCTCCTTACCCGGGGCTCGTCCCTGTCATCTCAGGTATGTCCCTGTCACCTGGGGCTCGTCCCTGTTTGTCACCGGGGGCACGTCCCCATCAGCTGGGGCTCATCCTCCTTACCCGGGGCTCATCCCTGTCATCTCAGGTATGTCCCTGTCACCTGGGGCTCGTCCCTGTTGCCCAAGGCTTGTCCCTGCCACCTCAGGTACATTCCCATCAGCTGGGGCTCGTCCTTACCTGGGGCTCGTCCCTGTCACCTCGGGCACATCCCCGTTAGCTGGGGCTCGTCCCCGTCACCTGAGGTTTGTCCCTGCCACCTCTGGTATGTCCCTGTTACCCAAGGCTTGTCCCTGCCACCTCTGGTATGTCCCTGTTACCCAAGGCTTGTCCCTGTTACCTCAGGCACGTCCCTGTTCGCCGGGGCTCGTCCCTATCACCTCAGGCTTGTCCCTCTTAGTTGAGGCTCATCCCTCTCACCACAGGCACGTCCCTGTTACTCGGGGCTCGTCCCTGTCACCTCGGGCACAACCCCGTTAGCTGGGGCTTGTCCCCGTCACCTCAGGTATGTCCCCATTAACCAAGTCTTGTCCCTGTCACCTCGGGCACAACCCTGCCAGTTGGGGCTTGTCCCTGTCACCTCGCGCGGGTCCCCATTACTCGAGGCTCGTCCCTGCCACCTCGGGCATGTCCCTGTTAGCTGGAGCTCGTCCCCGTCACCTCATGCACGTCCTTGCTACCCAAGACTCATGCCTGCCACCCCAGCCATGTCCCCGTTAGCTGGGGCTTGTCCCCGTCACCTCAGGCACGTCCCCATTACCCGAGGCTCATCCCTGCCACCCCGGCCATGTCCCCATTAGCTGGGGCTTGTCCCCGTCACCTCAAGCACGTCCCCGTTACCCAAGGCTCGTCCCTGCTACCCCAGCCATGTCCCCGTTAGCTGGGGCTTGTCCCCATCACCTCAGGCACGTCCCCGTTACCCGAGGCTCATCCCCGTCACCGCGGGCTCGTCCCCGTTACCTGAGGCTCGTCCCTGCCACCCCGGCCATGTCCCCGTTAGCTGGGGCTTGTCCCTGCCACCTCAGGTACGTCCCCATTACTCGAGGCTCATCCCTGTCACCTCCCGCAGGTCCCCGTCACCCGAGGCTCATCCCTGCCACCCTGGGCACGTCCCCGTCACCCGAGGCTTGTCCCTGCCACCCCGGCCATGTCCCCATTACCCGAGGCTCGTCCCCGTCACCTCAGGTACATCCCCATTACTCAAGGCTCATCCCTGTCACCTTGCACAGGACCCCGTTACCCGAGGCTCATCCCTGCCACCCCGGCCATGTCCCTGTCACCCGAGGCTCATCCCCATCACCCCGGGCTCGTCCCCGTCACCCAAGGCTCGTCCCCATCACCTCAGGCACGTCCCCGTCACCCCGGCCATGTCCCCATTACCCGAGGCTCGTCCCCCCGTGCATGCCCCGTCACCTGAGGCTCATCCCCGTCACCCCGGGCCCGTCCCCCCCGCCCCGGGCCCGTCCCCAGGCTGGGGTTCACCCACGTTACCCCGGGCCCGTCCCCCCCAGCCCGGGCCCGTCCCCAGGCTGGGGTTCGCCCACGTTACCCCGGGCCCGTCCCCAGGCTGGGGTTCACCCACGTTACCTCGGGCCCGTCCCCCCCGGCCCGGGCCCGTCCCCAGGCTGGGGTTCACCCCCGTTACCTCGGGCCCGTCCCCCCCGCCCCGGGCCCGTCCCCAAGCTGGGGTTCACCCACGTTACCCCGGGCCCGTCCCCGCCGCCCCGGGCCCGTCCCCAGGCTGGGGTTCACCCCCGTTACCCCGGGCCCGTCCCCCCCGCCCCGGGCCCGTCCCCAGGCTGGGGTTCACCCACGTTACCCCGGGCCCGTCCCCAGGCTGGGGTTCACCCACGTTACCTCGGGCCCGTCCCCCCCGCCCCGGGCCCGTCCCCAGGCTGGGGTTCACCCACGTTACCTCGGGCCCGTCCCCGCCGGGGCCCGGCCCGGGCCCGGGCGCGCCGGGGCTGCGGCGCTGGAGCTGCCGCTCGATGTGCTCCAGCCGCCGCGTGTTCTCCCGCACCAGCGCGGCCAGGGCCGCCCACTTGCGCTCCAGCCGGCTGCCGAAATCCCGCACGGCCTTCTCCAGCCCCGTCACCTTCCTCTCGGCCGTCTCGGCTCTGCCCTCCAGGCTCAGCAGCCTCAGGGCCTGCGACTCCACCTTCCTCTCCACCGCCTGCACGGCCGCCACCACGGTCCACAGCGAGATCTCGGGCACGGCCGCCGGCTGCTTCTCCGCCTCGGGGCCGTGGGGCTGCGGCGGCAGCGGCTGCCAGGCCTCGGGCGCCCACTCGGGATCCTGTTGCGGGGGGGGGGGGGTGGTTTCTGGTGGGGCCGCGGTACCGGCGGGGCCCGTCCCCTCCCCGCGGCTGAGGGCCCGGCCGGGCCGGCCGCTCGGCGCGGCGGAGCTGAGGGCCCGGCCCGGCGGGAGCGGGGCCGGTTCTGGCTGCGGTTCCGGGGTGCCCGGGGGGGGGGGGGGTTGAGGGGAGCCGCCGCCGCCCGCCGCCGCCCCCACGCTCCCCCCCCCCCCGTTACCTGCGCGGGGCCCCAGCGGGCCATGGCCGCCCGCGCTGCCGCTCCGCCGCGCCACAGCGCCCCCTGCCGGCCCGCCCGCAGCGCCGCCCCGCGACCGCCCCCCCGGCCTGAGCCCCCCCCAACACACACACACACACACACACACACACACACACACACACACACCCCCACGGGGCCCCCAGCACCCCCCCCCCAACACACACACACACACACACACACACACACACACACACACGGCGCCCCCAGCACCCCCCCCCCAACACACACACACACACACACACGGCCCCCAGCACACACACCCACACCCCCACGGGGCCCCCAACACACACACACACACACACACCCCCAACACACACACACCCCCCCACGGGGCCCCCAACACACACACCCCCACGGGGCCCCCAACACCCCCCCCACCCAACACACACACACCCCTAACATCCCCCCACGGGGCCCCCAACACACACCCACACCCCCCCACACACACACCCAACACCCCCCCACCCCCGGGGCCCCCCACCCCACCCCAACCCCATCCCCAATCCAAACCCCATCCCACAACCCCCCACCCCATCCCAACCCCCCCCCCCACCCCCATCCCCACCTCAATCCATCCCAAAACCCCCCAATCCCATCCCAATCCCTATCCCTGCCCCCAACCCCATCCCACCCCACCCCAATCCCATTCCCACAGCTCCTGCCCGTTATTTCCAGCCCGCAAACCCCCCCCAGCTCCCCCCGCCTCACTCCCTCCTTGACCCCGCCAGTCCCCCCGCAGCCGCAGCGCTCCCGGGGCTGGGCAGCCAGGCAGGGTCCCCCCCCCCCCCGCCCTGAACCCATAGCCAAAGGAAGCCGCATCCTCATCATCCTCATTTCTACAGCATCTATTGGTGCCTCCAGAAAAGGCACGAGCCCACCACCCACCACCACCACGTCACCACGGCCAGGCCCACTCCCAGCGTCCCGGGAGCGACCCCCCCCCCCCCACCCCCCCCCGCAGCGAGGGTCTGCAGGGGCGGGAGGAACCGGGCGATGCCGCGAGAGGGAGAGAGGGGAAGACCCCGCAGCCGCCCCCCGGCTCCCCGCCCCGCCGGGCGCCAGGCTCCCCCCCCTACACGGGCGCTGCCGGCGGCGGCACGGGCAGCGGGTCCCCGCAGGGGTACGGCCCCTCCTGCCGCACGTGGATCTTCTGGTGCATGTCCAGGTGGTAGTGCCGCTTGAAAGTCTTCTGGCACACGCCGCACTGGTAGGGCCGCTTGCCCGCCTGCGTCTGGTGGTGGCGGACAAAGTCAGAGGCCCAGGTGAAGGTCCTGTTGCAGCAGGGGCAGAGGATGAGGTGGTGGGTGGTGTGCTGGCGCTGGTGCACGATCAGAAAGCTCTGGCTGGAGAAGTTCTCCATGCACTCGTTGCACGTGTACATCACTTTGGGAGGCGACAGGGGGTATCTGTTGGGGTTGGGCTTCCCCCAGACGGCGCCGCAGTCGCTGCCCAGGGCGCGGGGCCGGGCGGCAGGGCACGGCGCCGGGCTGGAGCACTCCTCCCCGTCCGAGGGCTGGCAAAACCCCTTCGCCGCCCAAGCCTGCAGGTGACGCCGGATTTTCTTCTTGGACATGAAGGCCCGGTCGCAGTGCGCGCAGACGTAGGGCTCCCAGTTGTTGTGGCTCCGCTGGTGAATGATGAGGTTGATTTTCAGCAGGAAGTTTTTCCTGCACACGGGGCAGGAGTAGAACTTCTCCCGGGTGGAGGTGCGCTGGCAGGTGGCAGTCCGGCCCCCGCAGGAGCTTTCCACGGGCTCTCCCGGGGCAGCGACCGCGCAGCTGGGCTCTGCCTGCGCCGGGGCTCTGCAGACGTCTGGTATCGCCTCCTTGGCCGGTGCTTCGGGGACGTCTGCTGCCTGACTTTGGCCAGCGCTCCCCAAATCCTTCAGGTCCTCCCCTTCCGGGCCCTTCGAGGGCACTTCGGGCACCGCCGGCTCCTCCGCGGCGACCTCCTTCTGCGGCACCTCCACCGGGATCCCCACCTCGGCATCTGCTGGGCGTTTTCAGAACCCAAACATCACTCTCCCACGCGGTTTCGAGGACAGTAAGCGGCGAAGGGCTCACCTCCCACCCCCGCCTCGCCTCCCGCACCCTCCCCACACACAATCTCAGCCCCGCTCTCCACTTTCAGCTCAGTGTCCTCACCCCCAGGGTGCAGAAAAGCCGGACACAGCTGCAGCTCACCCCTGCAGACACCGCAGGGGCGGTTTGAGATGACCAGTGTCCCCCAGAGAGGATGGGGGGAAGTCTAACAGAAACATCGGGGCTCCTCCTTCGAAGCAAATCGACTGGGTGGGCTGGTTCACACCACGCCGCGCCTCGTCCTTTACAGTTTCAAGGCTAGCAACAGGATTTGCTGCCAGAATCCTTTCTTGGCCTGGCTGATCCATGTGAAATCCTGCCCCGAAAGCCCCAGGCCCGAAGAGAGCCCTGTGCAAACCTCCCGCTGCTCCCCGAGCACACCAGCAGCTCCTCAAGGCTGCCGGCCCCGCCGGGGAGGGATGGAGGGGCTCTGCCCCCGTACCTGCTGCGGCGGGAGGCAGCGGAGACCCGTTCAGATTCACCGCTTCGTGGCAGCGCGTGGAGAGAGGGCAGAAGGGGGACGGGGTCGGCAGGCTGAGATCTGCTGGGACAGCGGTGGCTTCACAAGGGACGGGCGCTGCGAAGGCAAGAGGGGCGATGAGGCTGCGGGGTGAGACGCAGCCAGGCCCAGGACCCCGCGCGCCCCCTGGGTTTGCCGAACACCCACGTGCACCGCAGTTCGCCGGGACCGCCAGGCTCCTGCTTTCCTCCAGCTCCTTACAGTTCCCCCCACAAGACTCCTTTGCCTTCATCCCCAGCGGGCCGTCGGCGCTCGGGCAGTCGGGCTCTGGGGAGGAGAAGGGCACTTGGTTTTACCGGGAGCTCAGGGCAGCGAGCGCAGGGGTGGGGGTCCTCCCTCCCAGGCTACCGGCGTGTCCCAGCACACTCCCCGTGCCCTCCTCCAGCACACTGTCCCCGGCCATCGCAGGAGACACCTCAGTCCCTGCACCAATCGTCCCAGCGAGCGGCCGGGAGCCAGGGTCCTGGCAGGGAGGGAACCCAGTGTCACACACCTACGGCTGGCGCCGGGGACCCGTCTGCTCCCGCCAGGTCCGACCGGGCCAGCATGCCCAGCTCTTCTCTTCTTTCCATCCGAGTCAAGACTTCAGGCTTGGAGAGGGAACAGTCTGTTCAAAAGCAAGACGGACACCAGAAGCAAGATGTGACGGTGTCTTTGCGAGTGCACCCGCAGCCTGTCAACACAGAGTCAGTCCCGGCCCAGAAAAACTTCCTCTCCAACCTGGGCAGCGTCAGTGCCGGCACACGGGCAGTTATGGACACAGACAGGGCCCAGCAGGCAGCACTCGTAGGGAGGAATTTGAAAAGCACTCTCTGGCATGTCTGACAACCCTCCCAGCAAGAAAATCCATCCCTGCTCCATGGCGGGGGGGGGGGGGCGGGGGGGAATCCCTGCGACAGAAATCCCACCCTGTTCTCCCAGAAATTCACCCTGCAGGTAGAAAAATACCCTGGGAAAAATACCCTGGAGGGCAGGAAGAGAGCTGTAGGGCTCTGGAGCGAACGTTCGCGCGGGTGCAGCTCCCCGCAGCCCGCGCCTCGCTCCCCGTGCCCGCTCCAAACCACTGCCTACCGGTCCCGCCACGCCTCCCCCGCCTGCAGCGAGGGTGAGGTGAGCGGCTCACTCGCCCCGCCGGGACCCGAGGCAGGATTTCCCTGCCCTGATCTGGGGCTACGCTCCCCGCCTCGCCTCCTTCCCCAGCGCTTTCGCTCTGGCTCCTCAGGCAAGAGTCCCACGGCAAGAGGGGGCAGCCCCCGCTGGGATATCCAGGCCCCCCCCCCTCCATCACCTGGGTGCTGGAAAGAATTAATAACAAGAACAAGGCTCTGGCCGGGTTAAGTGGGGTGTCGTTTAAAATAGAAAAGACCTTTAACGAGTCCAGCCGGACTTTTTGGAAAGCTCATTTCCAGCCATGCATTTGAAAAGCCAGCCAGAAGCACCCTACAGCTGCCTCTGCACCGAGGGAGCACAACCAGCCTCCCTCCCCACGCCAGGACAAACGGACCGCACACCCGCCACTCTGATGGGAAACCACCCAAGGATTTACACGGACAGGGAAGCGGGAATTTCTGTGATGAAAAGAGGGAATTTCTGTGATGACAACCCAGGGAGCGCAGGGTACCTGTTCTCCACAAGGAGAAGACACGGAGCAATTACCACCCACTCCAGCGTGTACCTGCCAACCTCCAACCACTGCGAGAGGGAATGGGAAATTGAGCGGATCATTTGAGAGCTGGAGATCCCAGTGAAAGGCAAAGAGGCAGAAATTAACCCCGAGAAAGCTCCCCGGGCAGCGATGGCTGCCAAACTGGTGCAAACAGAGCCTACACAGGGACACCAGCATCTCGTAGCTGTCCTGCATCACAGTCCTGTAGAGCTCCCTCTGCCCCTCGTCCAGGCTGGCCCACTCTCGCCGGCTGAAGTGAATCTCGATGTCCTCGAAAATCACTGGCACCTGGGGGAGCGCCGGGGCAGGGCTGTAGGAGGGGGGCAGCTCCCCTCCTCAAACAGCCCCCAGCCCCTCAGGCGTCACCCCCCAGCTCTTCAGCAGCCCCACGAGCAGATCCCCAGAAGCCCCCCCATAAGGAATCCCACACGCTCACTCCCAGCCCCCACAAAGCCGCCCCCTCCCCGCCCCCCCCGGATTCACCCAGTCTCCTAAAAGCCCCCTCAACGACCTGCAGGCTCCCTCTCAGCCCCCTCGATAGCCCCACGGCTCACTGCCGCCCCCCGCCCCCACAAACAACCCCCTCCCCGCCTCAGGCTCCCCCCTTGACCCCCTCAAGGCTCCCCCCTTAATCTCCCCCAGCTCCCCCCTCCACCGCCCCTCAGGCTCCCCCCTCACCCCCCTCAGCTTCCCCCCTTGTCCACCCCCAGGCTCCCCATTTGTCCCCTTAGGCTTCCCCGTTGTCTCCCTCAGCTTCCCACCTCGTCTCCCCCCAGGCTGCCCCCCTCGGCCCCTTCAGAACCCCCTTTGACCCCCTCAGACTCCCCCCTTGTCCCTCCCAAGGCCCCGCACTTGACCCCCCCCCCCAACTCCCCCCTCAACCCCTCTCAGGCTCCCCCCTCGTCCCCCTCAGGCCCCCCCCTTGTTCCCCACAGGGCCCCCCTCGACCCCTCCTCAGCCTCCCCGCCTCGTCCCCTTCAGCTTCCCGCCTTGTCCCCCCTCATCCCCCCCAGACACCCCCCTCATCCCCCCTCAGCCTCCCCCCTCATCCCCCCTCAGCCTCCCCCCTCATCCCCCCCCAGCCTTCCCCCTCATCCCGGCCCCTCATCTCCCCTCAGCATCCCCCCTCAGACTCCCCCCTCATCCCCCCCAGACTCCCCCCTCATCCCCCCCAGACTCGCCCCTCATCCCCCCCCAAACTTCCCCCTCATCCCCCCTCATCCCCCCTCAGACACCCCCCTCATCCCCCCCATCTCCCCTCAGACTCCCCCCTCAGCCTCCCCCCTCACCCCCCCCAGACTCCCCCCTCATCCCCCCCCAAACTTCCCCCTCATCCCCCCTCAGACTCCCCCCTCATCCCCCCCAGACTCCCCCCTCATCCCCCCTCATCCCCCCCCAAACTTCCCCCCCATCCCCCCTCAGACTCCCCCCTCATCCCCCCCCAGACACCCCCCTCATCCCCCCTCAGCCTCCCCCCTCATCCCCCCCAGACACCCCCCTCATCCCCCCCCAAACTCCCCCCTCATCCCCCCTCAGCCTCCCCCCCCATCCCCCCCCAGACTCCCCCCTCATCTCCCCTCATCCCCCCTCATCCCCCCCCCCTCATCCCCCCTCATCCCCCCCCAAACTCCCCCCTCATCCCCCCCCTCACCCCCCCTCATCCCCCCCCCGTCCCCCCCCCGGGCTCAATCCCGCGCCCCCCCCCGCTCCGCACCTCGGGGAACCAGAGCGCCCAGGGGGGCCCTTCCCTCAGCACCGCCTCCGCCCGATCCAGCCGCCGCTCCAGCAGGTCGAGCCGCTCCCGCAGCTCCGCCATGACCCGCCCGGACCGTGAGGGGATGGGGATGGGGCCGGGGCCGCGCGCGCCGCCGCCGCCGCCGCCCGCCGCGCCGCACAGCGCCCCCTGCCGCCCGGGCGGGGCCGCGCGCCGGGGGAACCCCCCCACGGTCCCGGGGGGGGGGGGGGGGGAGTACGGCCGCCCGGTGTCACGGCGGGGACGGTCCCTCCGCGGTGGGGGGGTCACCCGCGGGAAAACGCCGCCGTGGGGCTTGGGGGAGGGGGGGGGGGGGCGGGGGGGGGAAGGAGAGCGGGGGGCGGGTTTCCTCCCAGCCGACCCTGCCTCTTCGAATCGCCCCGCTTCTCGGTGATTGACAGCTGTCCATCACTCCCCGCGGGGGGGGGACGACGACGCGCCGCCGCCCTCCCGCCGGCAGGGGGAGGGCTCCGGGCGGGGTGGGAACGGCGCCCCCCGGCGGATCGGGCCGCGCTCGGGGGCCGGTGGCGGCGCCGGGGGAGGGGGCGGAAACGAGCCCGGCCTGGCCCCGGGGCTCCGTGTGCGGGCAGAGGCCGGTGGGAGCCGGTCCCGGGCGGTTCGGGGCTTCCCCCGACCCAGCTGCCTCCCGCCCCAAAGCTGCGGGCAGCCCCGGCGGCGGGACCGGTTGCCGCAGCCCCGGCGGGACCCGTTATTGCCGCCCCGGCGGCGGCGGGACCGGTTGTTGCCGCCCCGGCGGCGACGGGACCGGTTGCCGCAGCCCCAGCGGCGGGACCCGTTATTGCCGCCCTGGAGGCGGCGGGACCCGTTATTGCAGCCCCGGCGGGACCCGTTATTGCCGCCCTGGAGGCGGCGGGACCCGTTATTGCCGCCCCGGCGGGACCCGTTATTGCGGCCCCGGCGGCGGCGGGACCGGTTACCCCAGCCCCGGCGGCGGCGGGACCCGTTATTGCAGCCCCGGCGGCGGCGGGACCCGTTATTGCCGCCCCGGCGGGACCCGTTACTGCGGCCCCGGTTGCCGCGGCCCCGGCGGCCCGCTCGGCATTGCCCGCCCCTCCCGCCCCGCCGAGCTCCTGCTTCCCCGCGGGGCCCCCCGCCAGCACCGGGGCAAAACCCCGGGGCCGAGCAGCGCCGGACGCCTGGGCGCGGGTAGCGGGGGGAACGGCGGGGGGAGCTGGGGATCCAGCTTGGGGCACAAACGTGTCGTAAATAATAGCAGAATTTTGCTTTCGCTAAAAGTAATTAAACAATTGCTTCTCAGGCTAAAGCTATTATTAGTACAATGATCCAAATTTTAAGAAAAGTAAAAGACTTTACTGCTGGGAAAAGAAAAGGGGGGAATTGATCTGAGGAAACACCAACCCAACAGCCCCCCTCCTGGGATGCTCACCGGACGGCCCATATCACAGGGCGGTAACTCCTTTGCAATGGGATGAGAAAGAACCGAATGGGCCATCGCTGGTATCCCTTGTCCTTGAGAGAAGAGAGGAGCTGAACCACTGAGCCAGAAAGACAAAGGAGCTGCAAATTGGCCCAGACTTGAAGGAGAAGGTGTAGGTGACCACAGGACTGAAGAAAGAAGATTGTAGAAGGAGCCAGGAGGCGTGCCGGAGGTGTTGAAACCGGCAGCTGGGTGGATAAAAGGGGGTTTGAAACTGAAACAATTGGGTGAGCCTGGAGGGAGCTGGGACTCCTTGGCCACCCCAGCGCTGCATTTGCTCTCTTACCTTCATAAAGATTCATTAATCCGTATTTGGATGCGATTGGCCTTCATCTACCTATAACAAAATTTGGTGCCGTGACTCAGATCCGGACGGCTGACTCGGAATTCAACTCTGGGAGGGCGCCCCCATCCTTGGATGGTCCCGGGTGAACCCCCGACCAGGCTCACCTGGATTTTCCGAACCGAGATAGGAGAGCAAAGAGGATACGGGGTGGGGGATCGGGCTCCCCGGTAACACCCCAAGACGGCCGTTCCCCGGAATATTTGTGCACGAAGACCGAACGAAGACTCTGGACTGAGTGAGTATATCGCGATACCGTTCGGGTGGGGGCTGGGTACCCGGAGTGTGAGTGACTGAGACGTCCACCGGGCTTAGGAGTCCAAGGGGCGAAGCGAGCGTGGACCTCCCACTAGTGCGGTTCCCACTGCCCGCGAGGGCGGGGGCCACGGACAGGGGAAAGCGAGGGACTCGTGTGACAGAAGGCACTGCCCGAAGATGGGCCAGAGCGAAAGGAAGGCTGCTGGCACCATACAGAATAAGCAGGGTGGGGGTGGTGAACTCCCTAAAATACCTCCAGATAGTCCCTTAGGGCTTGTGATTCAGCACTGGGATAATTCCCCCTCCCGAAGGGAAAAATATCTAGGGAAAAGATGATCCATTATGGTATGGAAGTACGGGGGGGGAAGGAGATAAGTAGGGATTTATATTGGGCAGTTTATGGCTCTTTCGAAGACTGGATATGTCAACAATTAAATATTTATGTAAATGACAAACAGCCATTTAATAAGGAGGAGAGTGAATACGCCTTCTTATGGATTCTAAGTACATCACGAACCTCAAATTTATTTCCGCTAAAGGAAAACAACAAGAAAAAGAAGGATATAGATGACACTCCACCTCCTCCTCCTCTCTCTGTTTCCCCTTTTTAATCCACCCCAAGACTCTGGGCGGGATTCTTCTCCCTCCGCTCCCTCAGAGTCCCCGTTAATTAAAAAAAAAATCAATTCTGAGTCTGATGAGGCAGTAATTCCTCCTCCACCTAGGAGGACGACTAGAAGTCAGACTCGGGAAAGCAGAAGGGAAACATTATTATATCCGTTAAGGGAAAGAGCAATGGGAGGACCCCAGCCTGGAGTTGGTTTTGTATCGATCCCACTCAGCTCCGGGGATGTGAGAGAATTTAAGAAAATTGGGATACTTATTGGAGGACCCTCTAGGGGGTGGCAGAAGGGTTGGATCAGTTCCTTGGCCCAAATATTTACACCTGGGCTGAGATGGAATCCATCCTGAGAATCTTATTTACTAGTGAGGAACAAGGAATGATCAGAACAGCTGGTATGAGACATTAGGACCAAAGACATCACCAAGGACCTGCTGGGGATACAAAGTGGCCCCCCCAGCAACCTAATTGGGATAATTAAGACCCGGTCCGTAGAAATAATATCATCGACCTCCAAGACATGATAATTCAAGGAATTAGAGATTCAGTACCGAGGGGGCAGAATATTAATAAGGCCTTCAATGAACAAAAGAAGGACGAGCCCCGCACTGAGTGGTTAGAGCTTCTAAGGAAGGGCTTGCAATTATATTCGGGTCTGGACCCTGATAGTCCGGTGGGTCAGGCCCTATTTAAGACCCAGTTTGTGGCAAAATCCTGGACAGATATAAGAAAGAAACTAGGAGCTAGATAGTTGAGTTCCCAGGGTAATAGGGAGCCAAGGATTGCCACATTTCCCACACAATCCATTAGGGAAAGGCTGGGAAGAAAAGCCTAGCGGTGGGACAAAAAAAACCAACCAAACAAAAAAGAACAAGAAATTAGCAGGTGGTATTCTACCATATATCAGAGGAAAGAGTAAAATCAAGATGGTAAATTATTGTATGTTTAAATGGATTAAAGGACCTATCAGGAAAGATTCGATGTATGGGCCAAAATATGGATCAGAAGAGGATTGGATTTGTTAAGCTCTTAATATTTGTTAATTCAAAGGAACCATTTAATCAAGAAGAAAGTGAATATGCCTCATGTCGGAAGGGGTTGCGGAGATTTGGGATTTTTTTTTAAATTGAAGCAGGAGGAGGTTGAAGAAGGTGAAAGGGAAAGGAAGGAGATGGGACCCTTTGGATAATTTACTCCCCCCGTATAACCCGGCACACCTAGGAAATCAAGGGGTGCAGGGGGTGCAGCAGGAAGATGCGGGTGAGGAGGCCCCTGTTGTTAATATCAGACCTGAAACCGGGCAGCAACGAAGGGGGGGGGGGGAAATCGTTCAAGGGAGCAGGGGCAGGCTGGGGTTAATCCCTTGTGGGGGAGTCCCAGCGGCAGGAATTCAAAGGGGGGATGGGATTTGTGGATGTGCCGCTCACTAAGGTAGAGGTGAGGGCGTATAAGAAAGAAATGAGGAAGTTATTAGAGGACCCTGTGGGGCTGTCGGAGGAGATTGATCAAGTTTTGGGACTCAGTGTATACACATGGGAGGAGATGCAGTCGGTTATGGGGATCCTTTTTTCCCCTGAAGAGAGACAGATGATCAGAACGGCTGGAATGTGGATATGGGAGAGAGAAAATCAGCAGGGGATACCCAGGGAACAGAAACTCCCTGTAACCCCTCTGCAGTGGAATCGGAATGAACAAGAGGGGAGGAGAGATAGGAGTGACTCTAGGTCATTATAATAAGAGTCTGGAGGAACTCCTGAGAGAAGCCCAGAAAGTATATGTTAGGAAAGATGGGGGAAAAAAAAAAAAAAAAAGCTATAACTAAAGCTAAAATTATGATAACTGCACAAGAGGCTGTTAGAAATAAACACAGGGAATCCGCTAGGGAAATCCCAAGGGGATGTTTTTTTTTATTGTGGGAAAGGCGGGGGGCATTGTAAACAAGAATGCCCCCAGAAAATACGGGACCTGTTGGTGTTTGAAGTAACCCAACAGGATGAGGGTGGTAATCGCTAGGGGTGTCAGGAGCTCTACCTCCTGGGGGGTATACCAACAGAAGAGCCCTTGATACATTTGAAATTAAGTCCCCAGGAGGAAGATTATGTAGAAGATACAGCCTGGGCTGTATGGGCCAAAGGCAAAGGGTTTTCAGTCCCGGTTATAAAGAATGTGTTAATACAAGGGGAAGACCAATATGCTGGTAATGATCTGTTGTTAATGCCAGGGGTAGGATGTAATTTGCTAGGTAGAGATTTACAAGTGCAGTTAGGAATAGGTGTGGTGCTGGATGAAGGAAAACTGGTGGTTAAATTACTAGAATTATGGAGGATATTCAGGAACCAGAGCATAACTGTGTGGATTTTATAAGTTATCAAACGAAAATAAGAGAAGATCTGTGAGATGAACCTTTGCCCTATAGGGAAAAACTATTTATTGATGGGTCCTCTCCATGCCTAG